ATGTTCTTTCCTGTGTACTGTAACCTATTCACTCTATGCTTCAATCCTACGTATTTTCTTTGACCTCATTCCCAGTTCACTAATTCTCCAATATCTTCATTGGGTCTATATGCTGTTAAAATCATCTGCTAAATCCTTAAATTCAGTTATATATTTCAATCCTGGAGTTTCCTTTTTATTACCTTTTCATTCTCTGAGGAAATTTAATTTATTGTTTGTTTGGTTTTTAGGTGAACTTATAAAACAGATATTTCCAAGATAGTCTGAGGATCCAGGCAATAGATGTTCCAGATCTATTTCTTTCACCTGTTATTTCTCCTGTTTCTGGTCATGTTTGTGTCCTTCTATAACTTATTTTTTATTTTGGTTCTTTCTTTTTTTTTTTTTTTTGGGGGGGAGGGTACCAGAGATTGAACTCAGAGATTGAACTGAGCCACATCCCCAGCCCTATTTTGTATTTTATTTAGAGACAGGGTCTCACTGACTTATTTAGCACCTCACCATTGCTGAGGCTGGATTTGAACCCATGATGCTCCTATCTCAGCCTATCTAACTGCTAGGATTACAGGCGTGTGCCACTGAGCCCGGCCGTATTTTTTCTTTTATATTCTCATACTTCATTACATTTTAGTGTCAGCATCATATATAGACAGCACAAGGCTCCAGATGTTATCTTCCTCTAATATAACTTCTGCTTCTACCTGCAGATGGATCAAGGGCCCAACAATCCCAGATTACCGATCCAGGTGAATTAAAATGACTGGAAGCCTGGCTTCAGACTCTGTGAAGGTAAATTTAACTGGCTCACTCCTGCTTCCAGGATACAACTCCACTGGTTCCCAAACTCAAGATCCTGACCTCCAAGACCCTACTAAGCATCCACAAGTTCATTTCTCTGTAATTGGCCAACGCCTCTTAATAATTCCTCTCTAGGCTTTACATATCTATGAGACTTTGACATCTTAATTTCTCATTATACTGTTACTTCAGGGTTTTTTCCACCTCTTTTCAGAATTTTCAGTTGTCTTTAAAAGGAAAACTAGTTTAAGCCAGCTATGTATTAAAATGTTTCATTCCTGTGGAATGTTCACAAACTACTGTTAACTTAACCAGAGGTTCTACTTGTGGCTTTTACTGGTTATACCTTTTTTTTTTTTTTTTTTTTTTTTTTGTACCAGGAATTGAACTCAGGGGCAATTAACCACTGATCCACATCCCCAGCCCTTTTTGTATTTTATTTAATGAGTTGCTTTTGCTGAGTCTGGCTCTGAACTTGCTACCCTCCTGCCTCAGCCTCCCAAGCCACTGAGATTATAGGCAATCTCCACTGCACCCAGCCATGTTATTTCTTTTGATCAGATAATGGCTTATGATGTTCTTTCCTGTGTACTGTAACCTATTCACTCTATGCTTCAATCCTACTTATTTTCTTTGACCTCATGTCTATATACTGTTAAAATCATTGTGTGTACATACTGTTAAAATCATCCACTAAATCTATGGTAGCCAGTCCACCATAAACCATTATGTGATCACCTGATACTAATACCATACCCAATGCCTTTCCATGCCCACCTCTCACCAAGTTTTTTTTAAAAAGAACCCAAAAAACATTCTTCACTCTCACAACAGCCTGCATTCTCCCTTGGCTATGTACTCCTGGCTTTCCTAAATCAACCTCATGCCTCAGTATATAACATACAGGCTGAAACTACATTCTGTCAGGTAAGGTCCTGAGGTGAGAGATTCCCCCTCCAGGACCTCCTTGGACCTCCTCCAGTGACAATAAACACATGTGGGCTCCTGTTACCAAAAGAATTCAGGAAAGACCAGGGTTCCACTTTCACAATGATGAATTCCAAATAGTTTGAAAATAAACATCCTATCAAAGTAGTTAAGATTTCTTATTTGCTGCTATTATGTCTATAAGTTCTTATCAAATTATAAAATATAAACTGTGAAACCTATCTAGGATTTGAAGTTAATTTTCCAACTACAAAACTTTCTAGAGAATTATTTCTTGCCTAAAAATAAATGGACAACCAAAATTCTTCCTTATACTTTCAAAATAAAACACTATTTCATTTATAACTTCATCATACAAAGATAACTTGTGTCTTGAGAATACTAACCAGAATGTTGAGAAGTTACTTTTTCCCCCTATCTTAAATCAATCTCTCTTGATGTCTCAACTATCACTACTCCTGGCCTCAAGTGATCCTCCCTCTCAATCTCCTCAATAGCTAGGACTATAGATACCACACCACATGCAGTCAAGTCACCTTTTAGCACAGAACTTCACACCAATAATGTATAGCCTAAAGAAACCTATWCATAAAAACTAAGCCTCTCCCATAGTTTTAACCAACTTCAAATCAGACCCAAACATGCCTTGAAAAGTCTTACAAATCGGGCTACAGCTGTAACTCAGTTTTGGAGCGTCCGCCTCACACGTGTGAGGCACTGGGTTCAATCCTCAGCACCACATAAAAATAAAGATACTGTGTCCAACTACAACTAAAATAAAATAAATAAATATATATATGTCATATATATATATATGTATATATATGTCATATATATATATGTCATATATATATGTCTTACAAATCATGTAACAATTGACTTCCACCTAACAAAATGTAATTTTCAAAAAATGGCAGAAGGGCACCATTTTTAGTCCCAAGTGAATTAATCAATCTAAGGCAGCAATCAATGAATATACTACAGAGATATCACCAGATATTTTGCTCCTTTTGATGGAAAAATTTACATCTTACTGTGACCAATTCTCAATGAACATCTAGAATCTTGCAATATAATTGTTGACATAAACACACACATATCTTGCAATATAACTGTAAATTCATAAGCCCCATCCCAGACATTTTAATTCAGAATCCTAGCAAGCTGTTTTAAAACAAGCTATTTTTGGGGGCTGGGGAGGTGGCTCAAGCGGTAGCGCGCTCGCCTGGCATGCGTGCAGCCCGGGTTCGATCCTCAGCACCACATAACAACAAAGATGTTGTGTCCGCCGAGAACTAAAAAAATATATATTAAAAATTCTCTC